GAAGTTGAGTGCATTTCCCAAAAACCGTGTTATTGGTAGTGGCTGTAATCTGGACACTGCCCGTTTCCGTTTCTTGGGCAGAGGCTTGGTATCCATTCTGAAAGCTGCCATGGGTTGGTCCTGGGAGAGCATGGAGACTCGAGCGGTAAGCCTAAAAGCACCACTGAACTGTTCATTCTCTGAAATATATTTAGACGTTATTGACCATACAGAGATTTCATCATAAAGTAAAATAGCTCCTGAGTGGGGGGGAGAAAGGACTTATTCCCCTCTAGACCCTTTTAATAGTGGATTTAAGCACATTTTAATAATCTACCAGAAAAACTCAGATTTGAAAAAAGTGAGAATGTTACTATAATCAAAAGACTTTCTTAATGCAGCACTAAGTAACATGATATAGTTTATATTTAATTTGGGACACTCTAGAAAGTTCAGTACTGTAATCCAAGTAACAAAATTAAAAATATATATTTATTTTAGAGCGAGAGTGAGAGCTTGAGCACAGGAGGAAAGGGCAGAGGGAGGGGGAGAAAGCGGACCCTGTGCTGAGTGCAGAGCCCAACGCAGGGCTCGATCTCACGACCCTGGGATCACTACCTGAGCTGAAATCAAGAGTTGGACACTCAACCGATTGTGCCATCCAGGCGCCCCACGAATTCTTTATATTAGCTGGAGAACATTATAGGGAAGAGGACAGGTGCTATGGTGATGGTAGTCCTTTTTTCCTTAGTTTTTCCTAAGAACCCTTGAAATCCATTCATATAAAGGTTTATACTTATCTGTAGTTGAAAGTTTAAAACTGTCACTTTCTTGTGTGGAGAATCTCTGCCAAGAGGATAGAATTATGGGCCCTATGCCTGGGGAGATCTTAGTTTAGCATATTTGGGGCAGGACTTAGACATCTGAATTTTTTGTTCTGTTGAACATTCCTATTTGAAAGACAGCACAATTATAACAGTTTTGCTAAAGCTTAAAAAAATGCTGTTATATAATACCGTGTAATAAGATTTTTTGGTGTCTTTTTCTTGGTTCCTGTGTGGAGTGGAGTGAACATTGCTGGGGTCTCTCTAAAGGACCTGAACTTAGATATAGGAACTGATAAAGATCCTGAGCAGTGGGGAAATGTCCACAGAGAAGTAGTTGCCAGGTAGTATGTGCATTTTGCATTTTCAGTCCCTGGAAGTTAGATGTGAGCCTGAGTTCTGCCAGGGGGATGAGATTAGCTCAGCTCCATTAAGTATACATTGTTTTATTTCCCACACTTTTCATTAGCTCACCAGTCAGGGACTGAGTCTGTCTCACTCCTTGCTGAGCCTAACCCTAAACACAGCAGGCACTCACTTGCTGACTGACAATATAGTCTTTGTTAATGGTAAAATTGATTTCATATTAATTTCTGTATCTCTGTACTTACCCTCATGACTGTTTACCTTAAATAACCAACTGATGTAAGAAATTTCTAGGGGACATTATTGATGGAAACATTTCAGTTTTGTGGCATTGTCCAGATAAGCTGCCACAAAATAGATGTTCAGTGACAATTATTTCTTCAAAGTTAACTTAGGTTCATGATTTCTTCGAACTCCACAGTGGCTATGAGATGACTCCTTTCTTGGGGCTGTTTCCCTATCTGTAGCTGATTTAATGGAAAGTATTTTGAAGAATCTTAGGAGACCACCATAAGTAAGGTAAGATGTTCATGTTTGAAAAATCATTTAACATTAACATAAAATAGGGGTAAAAGAGCATTTGTGAAGAACAATTAATTTTTGAGGTTGATCTTTTTCAAGCATCTCTCCTCCAAAAGTCTAGTCTTTGCTGCTGCTGAAGAGACAGAGAAAGGTGTGGTGTTGGTGGTAGAGGGACTTATCTTTGTAGACCTTTGTCCTGGTATTTATTACATTCAATTGCATAAAAGTAAGTTTTTTTGCATGTTTAACTCTACAAATATCTGCTAACATTGGGAACCACTGTGGGTAGGTCTTGCTCCATTTGAGTTGTTTTCTAAGATTTTCAATTATGTCCAATGGAAGGACCTAACAAAGAAGCACTAGTTAACAAAAGTATTAGCAGTTAGTCTCCTGGAGAAGGGGAAGTTGAGGCCTGGGTAAGACTCCCCTGCTAGTCTGAATGTGACAGGCTAAAGCAAAATGGAATCAAATCGTTGGGAATAAAGTAATAGGAATTTTGAAGTGATTCCCCGATAGGAAGTGATCTGGGGTAAGGAGATAGGAAAAGGAGAGTGGTTCCCAGCAAACATGGCCCCATGTGGAAAGATGGCTGGTGAATCTGAACAATATGTCTAACCATCTGTTTTATTTTGTTCTCTGTCCTGTTGGTCTATTTTTCTGCCATAATTCATACCACAAAGCTGTGAAATATTCACTCAGCAACTATTGTTTTTCATGTTGCAGACCTTTGTAGGAAAGAAAGGAAGGGAAGGAAAGGAAGGAAGAACGGAAGAAATAATTATTAAGCCTTTACTTTCAGGGCCTCTATGGACTAAAAGAAGTATTCCTTAGTGTTCCTTATGTCCTCGGAGAGAATGGCATTACAGATCTCATGAAGGTAAAGCTGATCCCTGAAGAGGAGGCTCGTTTGAAAAAGAGTGCAGAAACTCTGGGAAATTCAGAAGGGGCTCAAGCTTTAAAGTTGCTTAAAGCTTCCATTCTGAAGTTAAGGAAGGAGAGAGTAGTTATAGGATTAGATATGTCAAAATCTTGACTAAACTTGAATTCCTAAAAGTGGAAAAAGGGGGCAATAGTGACTTCTCTATTTAGCCCTCCAGCTGTTTGAGCATCCAGATGTTGGATACTTTGTGTTTACAATTCCTACATGACTGCAGTTCTTGCCCATGTTTATGTGTTTATATATATATTTGCCATTTGGTTCAAAAGAATGAATGATGTGTGTGTATACTGTGTTTACAGAGATTCTGATTCTTTTTTCTGGCTGGTATGTTCATTGATACACTATAAAAAAGTGCAACTTTCTCTACAATGTAAAAATGGATATATACACAAAAACAAATGGTAGTTCCAATCCTAATACTAAATTAAACCTTGATTTGACCTTGCTAGCTTTTATTCTAATTTTTTTAAGATTTTATTTTTTTAAGTAATCTCTACACCCAACATGGGACTTGAACTCGCAACCCCAAGATCGAGTCGCACGCTCCACCAACTTCTGATAATTTTTATAAAAGATCTAAACTCTATAAACCCTTCAGTGATGACTGATACCAAGGTGGGCATTCTTTTCTTTCACAGAAAAAGTCACTCAAATCCCTCAGTTTCAAATATTTCAAGTTAGAATTCTATGTGGTATATCCCATATTAATGCTAATTTTTAACTTGATGGATATTATGCTTTGTGAAATAAAAAACCGAGCTTATTAATATTTAATTTTTCCTAAAAATGTTCAATAAAGAGAAAAATTATGCAACAAATTTTATTTAGCATAGTCAGTCCCAACATTCAGCACAAAAAGTTTACAGAGGATAGAAAGTGCATTAATAAAAGCCAGTCTTTACCAAAAGAAAACAGAAAATATATTATTGATTCAAAATATTTTACACTCGAATGATAAACTGCAATAACTTATTCTGGGCACTACTGATAAGAGAAAGAGAAGAAAAGAATGCTTTAAGAAGAGCTCAATCTCCAGCTGATATCAGAGAAGTCAGTAGAGGTCACTGAGACCGGCAGTCTTTCTTGCTTTTTGCATTAGTGCCCTCAGCTGGAACTGTTTACGGGACAGAAGACGTACATGCTGGGAGGGGGGGAAAAAGTTTCAACAGTTTAGAATGGATTTGACCCAGGCATGAAGTATCAGACAGTCTGTAAACTAGATGGGATCTAAGAACCCTAAACTCATTGTCAACCTTCCTTTGGAACCAATACTTTATGACTTTTTGGCTTTTTAAACTCACTAGATTGATGCTGGCAGGTTATATAAGGAAAGTTACCTTCTGAGACTCGATAAAGGATTACGTTACAGGGAAGGCATGCCATTACAGGATCTGGCTCAGGAGTTTGAACTATACCTTGAGATAAACCAAGACACCAGGGAAACTTGAACTCTGATCCTATCAAAAGTTACATAAAACTTTGATAACTACGACTATCCCCAGTTGTCAAAAAGCAGGGAATGAGCAGCATAAGCCAGCTTTTGTCCCATGCCTAGCAACAGCATCTCTCTCTGGCCTCTCTGGGTGCACCTTTCCCTAAGCAGGGGACAGTATATAGAAAGGGAGTCTGGGGTCTCGGACTTATACCCAGACATTCATGTGCTTGCACCAGGCCCAAGACTGGTTTGGCCACTTAATCACAGTGAGACAGACAAGATGAGTAAGTGACCCGACCAGCCTCGCACGTTTACTGAAGCACCAGCCGCAGTGGATCAAATATCCAAAGGGCGGCCACTATTACTTCTAAAACCATGCTCTTCGTGACCCAACAGAGAAGAGGAGCCAGAACTGGCTCCCTGGGTCTTCACGTTCTGTGCGACGGCAGTGAGCCTGAACCACCTTCATTCAGAAGGGCTGTGGTACGAGCAGGACAGCTCAGTACTTTGCAGGGCTGTTTGATCTAGGAAAACGGGTCTAAAATTATGCAATTCTAAGAAAATTAATAGGAAAAGACCAAAACAGAATCTCAAACAGGTGGGGCAGTCAGCGATCTTAATTTGGATGGTGTATGACCTGAAAGAACCAATGGAAATCTGACTGTTCCTCCGGACCCACGCAGGCCCGGCAGTAAGACTGAAGAATTACCTTCAGCTTCGTGCTGCCGGGGGGGCGGGGGCTGCAGCCACTAGCGCACCTTCCTTCCCCTCCCAGATGGAGCCTCAGCCCCAGAGCTCACTCGCGCTCTCTGGGAACACAAGGAATTTTAACTTCTCCTACACAGAAACCCTCTTGGTTTGTGGCTTTCAAGGTCAGTGCCTCTTTTAAAACATGAGTTCTGAGCTCCTGGAAAGCAGACTGAGGAAGACGTACCTTCAGGAAGACATCCAGATCTATCACTCCCCGCCTCAAGGCCTCTCCCAGGTAAAAGATAGTGTCTTCAATAGCATTTTCCTCTGCATACAGATTTAGGATCTGTTTGTATAGTGGGGCTGTGGGAATGATAACTTCGTCAATATCATTGTTTTCAGACTGATTTTCCATTTTCTCCAGAGCAGAACTGAGTTCTTCATCCTTCTTTCTCAAAAGTTCTATGTTTTTATCAACCTCAGCCTGAAAACAAAACAGTCCAAGCATGATGACTTCATACTAACTGTACATAATTATCTGCTGGTCAAAAATCTACAACTCAATTTTACAGAAACAGACCCGGGAAATAAAAAAGCGATACTTAAAACAACTCATGGTTGAGATTGTTTCAAACAACATCCTGGCCAAAGGTAGAGGAAAAAGGGTGATGTAAGATGCTGAGTGAGAACAGAATAACGTTGAAAATACCCTAAGCTGAGCACTTCCAGTGGCAGTGATAAGTCTGTCACTTAGCAGTGGCAAATGTTGTTGCGAACTAAGCCATCAGACAAGATACCATCCAGCAGGAGGGTCCTCATGAAAATCGTAAAAGAGGTTTTTCTTCCAAACAAGGGGGCCACTGCTACAGAGGGATAGCTTCCCCCAGTCTACACAGCTTAATCCACAGAACCCCAAACAGCTGAACTTCAGTTACAAGTTACTGTAGGTGGGCGGGTGCAGGCTTGGAATTATCCTGGTGTCGCTTTCCTGAACTTTTAAAAATCGCAGGCTACTACTGTGAAGCTGACTTTACGCCCTAGAACCATTTTGTAAGACGAATGTGCACACACAAACCACTGTCCCCAGGGCCCTCAGACACATTTGTTGGAATAAATTCTCCTTCGTGGGAAGGAAAGTGGCGAGTGAAGCTGGCACTTAAATCATGCCAGTAGGCCTCTTCTTCATCATTAACCAAAAAAGTCATATGGGCACAGCAGTCTGATAAAAATGTGAGAAAGTTTAAGAGCGAAAGGCTGCATTAGAGGGCTCGCTGAAGATGCTTTCAATATAGTTCAAATGACATCTGGAGACAAAAAAGAACTGACCCTTAAGTCTGGACCCACGGTCTGCAGATCTTCATCAGGGCTCAGAACTCTCTCAAATTCTTATTTCCTGGCAACTGTCTGGTAACATCAAGCACTGAAACCACCCTCCTTTGAGTCAAACCTCACCCCTCAGGGTGAAGTTGGTGCAAGGAAAAATGTTCTAAATACCCTCCAACTGCCAAAGACCAAACTGCCAACCCAGGCCCCACGTCTAACAAGGCTATAGAGAAGCTATATTCAAATGCTTAAAGGCATGCATAATTTTCTGAACTCTTACTGGACCCACAACGTCCAGGGTGAAAAAGGGGTAGATATCTAAAATTCGCAACTATTCAATGAGTTACTTACTACTTCTTGATCTAAACGGGTAACCATCTCTTCCAGTTTCTGATGACCTTTTTTCAGGTCTTCCTCTGTTCGTTTCAAGGCATTGAGCTCTGCCTGGGCACGATCCATTTCCTCTTTCATCCGCCATCTCAGCTTGTCACTGACCGCTGAGATAAGAGAGGCTCGGATGGTGTCCTCGCTGATGGTGCCGTCCCGACTGGGACCTGCAGGGGAAAAGGCAGAAACCACTGGCTTAATTTCCTAAGCATTTTCTATTCCTTTCACAGGAACCTTCAGAAAACAGGACAAAATGAGTTGACACTTTCAGAGTGGGAGGAAAGAGAAATTTTCTAGTAAATGTAAAAATTTCATCAAAAATAACATTAAAATCTGAGTTGATTCAGAAATACTTTCCCTGCAAGAGGTTACTATGAATCCATATTTACCCGCCTTTTCTACTGACCGCTGAAATAATCAGCTCTCTTCTCAATGAGGCAGGGGCTGTGTCCCCACAGATTACAATTATTCCCCAATCTCCAACAAATGGGACAAGTTTATACCAAAGAAAAACATTTGATTCAGGTCAGGTGCATTCTCTGGTTTCACTGCTAAGGTGAGGGAGACAGAAACCTACTGCAGAGGCCAGTAAGAGGACTGAATAGGCAGTTTCCTTGGTGTAAGGTTAATAAGGCTTCCCTTCTACAAGACTTTTACTCCATTACCCTTTACCCAAAGAGGAATGAACAGATGAGCAAGAGAGAGTGATGTACAGAAAATTCAACAGCTGATAAACTTGTTTAGTCTCAGATTCTTTAGTATTCTCTTCAAAACATCCCTTCCTCATCAGTGTCTTATAGAATTTCCTTGCATATTTCAGATCAAATAAACTTATCCCTCTGATATTTTCTTCAAAAGGTCCTCCCAGTGACAGAAGTATGGTACGGTACTCTTTAGGGCTATCGGCGTTCTTTAGTTAGGGTCCTAATTCAGCAAATGTGTACATGGTATTCTGATTTCCAATTATGTTTGATGACAGAATATCATGTGGGGAATTATATTTATCTGTCACTGCCTACAATGATTAAAAAATGATTACAGACTAACAGAGTATCACTACCACTTTGAGCCGAAAATTTCTATCCTGGGGACACTGAGTTATACTCAACAGGAGGAAAAAACCCCAAAACCCTTTAGTCTGTTTGCAGAAATGTAACCAAACTCTTACATTCATGTTCCCACCCATCACAGGCCTGGGCCCCGTACCGAAAAGGCACACTGCTTCTCAAATGCAGCCGAGCTTTACCAACAACAGGCAGCCTGCCCCACGCAGCCAGCGCCACACCTGCTCTTCAGTGTCCCGTCTGCTCACAGTTCTTGCCAGTACATAAGCTCGCCTTGTACTAACTAAAAGCTCCACTTGTTAGTTAGGAAAGTTGTCTTCTTGCAGAAGCTGGTTCATACCAAGTTACCCTGAATGCTTTTCTGGCTTTTTGTAAACGACATCAGGACACTCTGGCGTTCTCTGGTTTCAGAGGTTTTGAAAGGCAGAGTCTGAGTCTAAATAGTTTTGTTTTTTCTTTTTTCTCTCTCATTCCCACCACAGAAGAACTGTTTTTTGTTGTTGTTGCTTTTTCTGACTTAGGTTTTCTTCTTGCAAGTAGAAATGAGTACAGACAGGGTCTCCTGTGGCCCGCTTTTCCTGAAGAGAGTCCTTCGTCCATCTGTCCTGAGGACACTACTTGCACAGTGAGAGCCCAGGATCAGACCCCCCCCGTGTGCACTGATTTCTCCCTACGAGGACCTCCCTCCTTCCTGCTAGAAACCTCTTGCTGAGGAGAGCCCAGACAGTATCCATCCTACAGGGTTGACAGAAAAGCAATTAATACCTCCTGTTTGATTATTAACATACAAATCGATAAGGTATGTGCTTTCGAGAATTCATTTCTGATTTTACAAAATATTTCAGCTCATTTCGTATTTCTGAAAAGCAAAAGTATTAACTCTTTCAGGTAACTTGTGCTTTGGAATTCAGAATGGTAAAGCCAGAGGGTAACCACATTTCCCCTATGAAAACTGAGGTCTTCTTTTTCACATCTCTGGCCTCTTTAATACCTAACTTTTCTAAAGTGTTCTCATCACTTTACCAACTACTGCACCACCTCCAGGCTCATGCCCCTAATTTCTCTTGCTGTTTTCCTGTCTGACCACCTCTTTATTCACATCATCCCCAACAGAGACCAGGATGACTAGCAACCTTCCCCAATTACCAAGATCTCCATTCATTCCTTCTCGTCCCTTTGACCTCCCTTTCTCCCACCCCTGCTTCCTGGGAGCATCTCGCCTCGCGCGGACTTCTTGCCGTCTCTTACAGCACGCAGGAGGTCTGCCAAGGCAGCCTCTCTCACATTTATCAGACCACCAGGCCTCCTACCTCCAAAGACTTCACCTGCCAAACCTAACCTAACCCAAGTCCTCAATCCTTCTGACTCTTTCTTAAAGCCCTAGCCTCCTTTTACCATCTTCCCACAAGGCAAAAATCCTCAGGATATTTTCAAAGGAGTGAAACCATCAGATGGGAGTTTTCCACTCTTTTCTCCCACTCTCCTTTGGAACAAGAATCCTAATTCCTTTAACTATGGTCTGACCCCTCACTGTTTAAAAGTACTAACCTCACCTTCTCAGGAAGACAACCTGCATTCCTCTAGATCCTTCTGAAAGATCAGATGCTTTTAAGCTTTCATCTGTAGTCTAAGCACAGTGTCTTGCTTTTTCTACTCTGCTCTTGGCTTGCTTTCTTTCATCTCTCTTCCTAGCCCCAAATCTTGGGTAATCTTCAAAACTCTATGCTCTCTAGTTCTTTTTTCCTGAGTTCACGGCCAGTCTTATACAACATTACTCTAATTAAGAAAAAAAAAATGTCTAAAAAGGCTCCTGAGGAGGAAGATGAAGAAAGAAACGTTAAGAAACACCGCTGTAATCCATCTGTGATTCTTGCTTTTCTACTACTGTGTTGCTACTATAAACTTCTACCTGCTGGCCTTGTCCCCACACCCCAACCTCATCCCCAAAATTATGGTATACATTTGCTACAATGCTTGAATTATCCTAATCACAACCTATGAAAGGCAGAAACTTCCTGAAGGCCTTGTAAATGACCGGGGTGCGGCGCTAATTACCTGCTAGATGATCCTGCTTTTTTCCACAGCCAGCTCTAGCTCTTTCACTATCAAACTCTTAAGTCATTTTAACTACCAAAAACAGTTTACTGTTCTTAAATATCAGATTCCATCTTCTCTCTACCATCAAATATGGTGTTAAAGCTAATCTCCACTAATGATCTTTCCTCTGTTAACCCTAATGAGTTCCCACTAATAGTTCTTACTATATTTATCAGTTTAAAAACATACTTTGAACTTTAAAAAATACCTGAGTACAAAAAAGACAAAGGTATATTTTTAAAAGATTAGGATCTGCCAAAAACTTCCTGATACCATAGTTTCCAGATAAGAAGGGCAACGTGGATCACTGGAAAAGGAGGCAAGCACTTACCTAAACCTGGCGGCGGGTGGGGGGTGGAGAACACCGCTCAGGTTACAAACCAGACACTGGGGACTCCTACACTCTTGGGTTTTTTGTTTTTGTTTTGTTTTCTTCGCAATAGAGGTTAGAAACTTAACTGTGGTTTGCGTATCAAAAGGGGTAGGTTGTTACAGAAACAATTTAATGTTTATTCCACCCTGTATTAAGTTGTTTCAATAAGATTTTTTTCAGATTTAAATACAATTAGCCTTTTCCCTAAATTTTTGAATTTGTTGTGAGAAACTAAAATCATAAATTGGTTTTCACCTCCCTGGCAAAATGGCAAACCAAAGCAAGTCAAAGAGACTGAATTCTCGGTAACATTTCCTGGTAAAAATTTGGCTGTCCTTTTGCGGACAGGAACAGTATCTTTAAAGAATTTGACTCCTGAAGGGCTTAGCACTGAACTGTGATAGCTGCTCAGGCAGAATTATTTGAGTTAATGGAAGCAATGAGTGTTAAAATCTGCAATGTTAACTATTTTACTCTATTTTTTGCTTTTCAACACACGTCCCTTCAAGGCAGTAGAGTTGTGTGGTTAATCCTATGCAGCCGTTAAAGTGTTCCGTTTATCTGTGTAGAAGTTATCTGAAGTAATAAAGGATTAAGTGTATTTTTATAACTAGTCTGGATTTTTCACACACAAAAACATCAAGTTTTGTTAAAATTACTACCTTAAAATGGATCAACTTACACTGATGTGAAGTTTTCAAATTTCTTTTTAAAAACACACATTTAAATTCTGGAATTTATATTCTGTTTCTCTTATGAAATACGTTAAAGCAAACACTACCATACAGCACCAAATAAGGCCTCCCAAAGAAGTCTCCAGCTAAAGCCATTAACACTCAAAATGGGAACCAAGCTTTCGATAAAGGTCGCAGTTCACCTGAGGGTGGAAGTGCCAAGATTAGCCCTTGTCCTTTCCTCTGCCACCCACAGACCTTACTATACAGTATATTTAAACACATTAGGTCCACCTACCTTCTAAAAAGAAGAGAATTTTAATGAAGATATGGAATATGAACGCCAAAAAAGAAAACCAATTAAAATTCTAAATTCGATGAACCTTGACACTTTAAGGGATTGTTTAAGTAAGAAAAAAGATCGGTGGGAGATTCTCATCATCTTGATCACTTTTCAAACAAAAAAAATTTTTTGCCTTCAGATGTCTTTTTTTTTTTTTTAAAGATTTATTTATTTGACAGAGAGAGACACAGCGAGAGAGGGAACACAAGTAGGGGGAGTGGGAGAGGGAGAAGCAGGCTTCCCGTGGAGCAGGGAGCCCAATGTGGGCCTCGATCCCAGGACCCCGGGATCATGACCCGAGCCAAAGGCAGACGCTTAACGACTGAGCCACCCAGGCGCCCCAACCCCCTCAGATGTCTTAAGAGAAATTTTCATTTTCTTTATACCCAGGTAACAAGGCCTGGAGTAAGAAGAGTTTGTGCCAAACTGCCATACCTCAAGTCCCCACATCCTGACCTTTACCCATGCAGAGTCAGATTTCAGACGTGCCCTTCTACAATTCCAGATGAGCCTCAATGAAAAGGTAACAAAGATTTTGAGAAACAATCCTAAGCAAAAACCTCATTTAAATGTTAGGTAGGATCCAATTACTGAACTTAAGTCTTAGGAACTAAAA